CCAGTCCCTTTCTAAATGGATAGCATTCATTTGTATATCCCTGAATGGTTCAATCATCTTATTTACTTTCATCAATAAATATTCCTTCCTCTCGCAGTGCCTGGAGGCTGTTAGTGGCTGGATGGGGAGCAACGAGTTGAAACTAAACCCTGGCAAGACCAAGTGGCTCTGGGTTTGGGGTTTGCTGGCTTAGGGAGAATTGCCATCTTTGGTCTTGGATGTCGTGGCACTACCCCAAACAGACCCTGGGCATAATCTGGGGGTCCTCCTGGACTCATGACTCCTGTCCAAAGAGCAGGTGGCAGTCATGGCCAGGAAGGCCTTTGCAGAACTACAGGTTGTGTGCCAGTTATGCCCTTTCCTGGACCAACAATTCCTACTCACAGTCATTCATGCCCTAGTCACTTCCTGTCCTGACTATTACAACATGCTCTACATGGGCCTGCCCTTGAAGAGCATCTGGAAGCTCCAGTTGGTGCAAAATGCAGCAGCCCACATGGCTTTGTACAGATCCCGATGTGCACATGTAACATGCGGGAGTTCCATTGGTTGTCAATTTGCTTCCAGGTGCAATTCAAGGTGTTGGTTGTCACCTTTAAAACCCTTCATGGCTTGGGACCAGGTTATCTGAGGGACCACCTTTTGCTGGTCACATCTACCTGGCCCAACAGAGCAGGGAGGCAGGGAATGTTGCGGGTCCCATCTCTGAGGGAGATACACCTGATAGGACTCAGAAGAAGGGCCTTCTCTGTGGTGGCTCCCTCTCTCTGGACCATCATAGACCTGATTCTGCCAGCAGGCCTGGGGAACCCTGAGTGGGATAGAGCCCATTAAATGGCTCGTGTGATCTGCTGTCAACGGGACGGGACGGGGGGTGGGAGGTGGGAGTGATTTTGTTATATTATACTGTATTAATTTATTTGATTCTTTTTGTTAGTTTTATTGTTTTAAATGTGGTTTTGTATTCTGTAAGCCGCCTTGAGTTGCCATGGGCGAATAGGTGACAATATAAATTCAATAAATAAATAAATTGTCAGCACTCCAAACTAAATAATTGCAATAGACTTACTTTTCATTACCTACAAACTATCAACGCTTTTATTCTTGGGTTCTTGTATATTAATCAGCTATCAATCCAATCCTTAGATTTAAAGCTCAGAGTATTGAGGAATATTTAGTAAATATCTTTGTTTCTGGAAGTCCAAGAATATATTTGTTCTTTATATTTGCTGGCTGATAATACACAGAGACATACTGATTTGATATTTTGAAAGGTTTTGGCCTGAACCCAATTAAAAATTGTCCTACAAAGGATATGTAAAAACAAATAAAGGAAAAAATACTTTCATTTACTGCAGTAATGATAAGTACTAGCAATTTAATTAAACATAATCAGTAATTGTGGAATACACAGCATTTAAAAAACATAGAGGCAGACAAAAACCAGAATCTGTAAAATGGAGGAAATAGAAATTTAATCCCAGTAATATATAGAAGCAACACCTGATTGAAGATATCCTTTTCATTAAATATATTCCATACAAGTTTATTTTTCATAGTGCTTGCTAGAGAAAAATACTATTTTAATAAAGAAGAACTTATTTCAAAACCATATACAGATATAATCACTGATTTATATAAGGATATTTAAGGAGCTCTGTAGCTTATTTGTTTATATATTGGAGAAGGCTTCTTTAAAAGTCACTAAAAGAGGGCCTCTGGAAAAACAAATTTATGTTATAAAGTAGCTTTTTGGGTCTCTTGAGTCTTTCTGACACATTGTTCTCAGACCTTTATGCCTGGGATGCTGCCAAATAGCTCTTTTCCCACAAAACTGTAATAAACTTTGAACGAAAACTGGATTTCAGTCCTGCTTTTCCCAGAAGAAATACTGACCTATTTCACCCTGAGGTGGTAAACCATGTTTGGGCTGTACCATTTCAGACTTTAGGTAGTAGTTCTTACGACTGAATGTTCTTTCATATAAGGTGCCAATATTGGAGGATGAATTCAAGAATATTTTATGTTTCTTCTTTTCTGCATCTTCTATTTTTTTTAGTTTGTATTCGTTTCTTACCATTGCATTGTAACTTTTAATAAAATCACTGCTAAAAAATAATAGCATAGGCTAAATATTATAAAGAGAATTCAGATACTAAACAGAAGCAGTTGTACAGGACATAAGGATTTGAGCTTTTTGTTGAACTATTTTCGAAGGAAGAAACCTCACTGCAGAAAAGAAAGTGGAGGTTGATCACTTATTTTTCTTATCTAGTTAATGGCATGTTGTGCCAAGACAAACTGCAGGCCTGCTGCTTCTGGTACCTATATGGCAAGCTATAAAAAAGGGGAGAGGAAGATTTTGAAAGCGGTGTGTAAATAGATCCATTCCTGAGACAGTTTTGTCAGCAAGAACTTGTCCTGTCCCTGCATGAAAGACATCAAGTCTTTCTCAAGACTTGAACAAGAACGTTTTACAAGGAAACTTATCAGTGTACGGAGCTTCCTCCCTCATACTGCTTGTTAAAAACAAAACAAAACACTACAGGAGATCAAATGATCAGAATAGTATCTTGTCTAGTTTGACATATATGGTTAAAACTTCACATCATTATGCTGATGGTGCCATCTTGCTTTCATTTCTGGGTTTATTTACAGAAAAGCTGTGGACAGCGTTAGTATGCATGGAGAACAAGAAATCAAATCATTTTAATATCCTTTTGATTATCTCCTCTCTAAAAATCCTTAATTAGCACAGTCACGGGAAATGGTGGGGGTGATGATGATTAAAAGTCAAATTCTGGAGTATATCTTTACAGAAAAAGTCCACCTTTGGGTTTACAATGGTTTTGACGTATATCAGTTAGCTATGTGCTTTTAATGCAGCAAATATGTTTCCAAACCGAAGCAGTATGATTCATAATTTATACTTGTCTAGTTTAGTCCTGGCTCAGTCAGTACATATTAGCAATCCTGAGTAATAGTAATTTGAAATTTAGGAGACTGGTGGATGCAGAGACAAATCTCTTGGGAAAGCTCATATATATTTTACCTGTTTCCTAGAAGATGGCCTTAGGCCTCCATGACAGAATTGAGGAGTAAAGAGTAATAATGCCTGCATCGTCCCATCATCGTGCCTAAAAGCCCTGCACCCAATGATGGGCCAAAAGCATGAAGTTTGTCACCATGGTGACATCATTGCTGCAATAACTATTACTTAACACATTTTGCTGTTGTGTCCTATGACTACAGCCAAATTAACTGGATAGCGTAGAACAGACATCTCCAAATAGTTAGATTGCCAGCTAATATAACAAGTGACTCAGAGAGCTGTAGCTCTAGTACGTTTGGAGATAGGAGAAAAATTTATCTGAAATTATGTTGTAGCTAAGAACACTGCAGTTTATAAAAGACTGACAAAACTGAATATTACACATCTATCAGCAATTAATTTCAACTGCATAAAAATAATTTCCTGAGAAAAAAGCTGCAATCAATATTTTGTTTTTCTGTACAGGGTCAATCAACCTATATTTTTAGATCACTATTCTTCCATTGATGTTCCTACATTATTCTAATTTTGCATTCTAACTTTCTGTTATTTTTATCGTACATCATTTGAATTATTTTTACTTAAAAGCAAGCCAAATGAAACCAGGTACACAATAATAAATCAAGAAGACTGACCTAAGCTCAAGTTTGAGAAAAGAATATATTATGGAATATGTTGAACCTTGAAAATCACAATGTTCACCAGAAACAAGGTCCCAAGATCCTTCACATCCAGCCCATCTTCTAGTTTTTTCCCCTCAACTCTTCTTTTTGAGTAATCTATTTAGAGAAAAGAGAATCTTTGATTTATTGTTACTGTTAAACAGCTGCAAGTAAGATATCAGTCACTCAGACTGTGCTGTAATATTATAATCATAGATTGGAAAATAGTAAAAGAAAAAAAACCTATTTTTAAATGACATTTTATAGCAATAGCACTTAGACTTATACACCGCTTCACAGTGTTTTACAGCCCTATCTAAGCTCTCTATGCTGATTCTTTTACAGAATCAGCATATTGCCTCCAACAATCTGGGTCCTCATTTTACCGACCTCAGAAGGATGGAAGGCTGTGTCAGCCTTGAGCCTGGTAAGATTTGAACTGCCAAATTGCAGTCAGCCGGCAGTCAGCAGAAGTAGCCTGCAGTACTGCACTCTAACCACTGTGCCACCACGGTGCATTAAAGTGTTGGTTATTAACTTTCAATCTCTATAGGGGGCCAGGTTATGTGTGGGACCACTTCTCACTATGCTTATCTATTCATCCTACTAGATAAGATAGAGTGGACACACTTCTGGTTCCATCTTTTAAGCAATGACATCCTATGGGATCTAGGAAGCATTCCTTCTAAATGGCAGTTCCTCCTCTGTGGAACACCCATTCCTCCTAGTCCCCTAGGAGGGAACTAGCTGGCCTTAGCAGGCCCCTAACCTCCTATTCTTCTGAAAAGCACTTAAGATCTGGTTTTTCTGCCAAGTACTCAGATAGGGTGAGACTCATGAGTGTTTTTGTGGTGGACTGCTTGTTAAAGTTTATTATGGTGCTATGTTTTTACTATTTGTGATTTTAATAGATATATGTATATATTAATTGTGCAGCTACATTCTTTTAAAACTGTTGGTTTGGAACTGGCCACACATCTTCTGTATAATAAAATGTTTTAAATTCATAAGTACTTATAAAATTGTTCCAAAGAGCAGATTCTTAAAATATTTGGAAGCGGAACAAAAATACTTTGTGTTTTCAGTTAAGATATCATCTGCTCAAGAAGATCAGTAACATAAATGCCTCTCATATTATTGCATGTATACATATGTGCAATAAGTATGTATATATTTACACACATACGCATAAGCACACATGAAGAAAGATCAGAAATTGTAAGTTATAAAAATGTTTGTATTCCTAATGTTTTCTGGTTAGAAAGTATGAAAAATAGTCACTCACAGCATGCTCTTCTGCTTTATTATAGAGCAATGTCAACACATTACATTTTATTTGAAAACAAGAATACGTATATAAACAGAAGAAAGCTATGAGAAGTATATATCAAAATACCTATAGACATTTACATAGACATTTCATATATACAAATTACAATATTATCTTCTATATGAAGATGGGTATAACTGTTCAGCAAATTGACCTTATTTTTGTACAGAATTGTAGATACTTGAAATTATTGAAGGTTCAAAACCAAATGGTTATTTTGCATACCTAAGCATAGCAGACATCAGAAATTGGCTAAGAATATTCTGTAGCAGTACAGTGTAAATTGTGTTGTTATAAGCAACCCATTTTGTTGGAAAATAAAATGCTGCTCATAAGAACCTCACCATAGACATTATGATAGAGAAGTCATTTGGATTATAATGATATATATGGATTCACATTTTACATTTTCACTATATTTTTAAAATTTGATTTCTCCAAGAGATACTTAAAGCATCATGTATAACAATGACTAAAAGACCTACTTAAGTTATAATTGCTGCAGAGGAATTCTGAACATTGAATTAGTTATCAAAAACTGACCACTATGGAGAAAGAATAATTGGACTTAGCTTTGCATCTACTTTTGAGCATATTAGCGACAGGGCCGGATTTTCCTATAGGCTAAGTAGGCTTCAGCCTAGGGCCTCAAGATCAAGAGGGGCCTACATTCAAATTGTTAGCAAAATTAAAATTACACTTTCACTATAGGTGAAAGGGCCTCATAAGTGGAATAGCCTAGGGCCTCTTTCCATCTAAATCCGGCCCTGATTAGCGGCAATTCTCAATATTCACTTGTCCTTCCCATTAAAGTTAACATGATGGATAGAGCTATTTAACCAGTTACTCTGATAGAGAGCTCCATTATCTTTAATGACCTAAAATAAAAGCAGGAACAGCACATCAATGTTACAATGTATTAAGACTAATATTGAATATCTGGATCCCTATTTAAAGCAGTAATAGAATTTCACTGTTCTAAATCTTATCTCAAAACTATAGATCATACCCTCGTATTCCATCCTGCCCTTGGCTTCCTTTGAGACTTTCCCAACTGAGATTTTCCAATACTGGGCATCATAAGTCTGAATATCAAAGAAAAGAATAAAGTTAATAAAAGATTCTTGCCTCTAAAACTAGAATCCAGTTAGGAGGAGGAATCGGGTGCCCTACTGTCCATTAGGCACTCCAGGAAACAAAAGAATTTTGTTGTTTACTCATTTAAAAAAATCAAGATTCCCTTGAATTGATTATCTCTAAAGACCCATATACAATAGGGTGTTTGACAACAGTAGAGAAATGATTTCTTATCTTTTCCAGGGTGTTTTCTTAACTAGCCAACTTAACTACCCAACTTAACATACAGCCTTGGAATTTCCTATTGATCTCCATCCAACTAATTAGACGGGATCTGCTTAAGATTTCAAAAACAGCCAAAATCAGCTGAGTGCTGTTATTTGCTGAGCTACCTATTTATAACAGGTAACAAACTTTGAATTCCCTGGGATTTATCTCAGCTCAGTCCAAATATTAATTATTTCTATGAAAAGTTTTGAAAAATTATTCAGAAGTGTTCTGGACTCTGTGTGAACAAAAGCACCCTTTGGTATTCATTAATACATCCCAGCTATCTCTAGGCATCCATATGCCCAAAAGCAAGATGTCATGCTGCCTTAAGAAATGGTTCAGTATTGCATAACCAGGGGTGAAATCCAGCAGGTTCTGACAGATTCTGGAGAACCAGTAGCGGAAATTTTGAGCAGTTCAGAGAACCGGTAGTAGGAATTTTGAGTAGTTTGGAGAACTAGCAAATACCACCTCTGGCTGGCCTCAGTGGGGTGGGAATGGAGATTTTGCAGTATCCTTCCCCTGGAGTGGGGTGGGAATGGAGATTTTGCAGTATCCTTTCCCTGCCACTCCCACCAAGCCACCCCACTTTCACCAAGCCACGCTCACAAAACTGGTAGTAAAAAATATTGGATTTCATCACTGTGCACAATTCTTTAAGAAGCAGAATATAATTCTCAAGCTAAAGTTCCTTTCTAAAGGTGAAAACATTTGCTTGGTATTTTAATGTAAACTTATGTAACTTTTTACCAATATGCAAACTGAAACTGTATTTGCATGTTATGGAAGAATGCTCAGAAATGTCTGTATTAATGGTAATAATGTACAGAATGCACAGTATTTGGCAACTTGCTTGTCAAGACATGTAGTAGTACAAATTATAAACAGTATATTTTGTGGGAAGCATTCATAAATTTATAAATGAATTTTCATGTGCACACTTTTAAAAAACAAAATTATTCATGTAATGTGGAATTGGTTGAAAAAAATTAAGACTAGAAAAACGATAAAAATAGAAGTTTCAAAACCAACATATTTGTTCATCCCTATAGTGTCCCCTCTAACTTAATTAAGATAGAAGAATATGTTCAATAGATTCTTTTGAAAAATTCATTTAGACTCCCAAGAGTTTTTTTTTATTCACATTTATCTAGGCAGGAATTATGTGTGCTGTTCTGTTAGAGAATGGTTTTTATAAGCACACATAAGTGCCATGTAATTTATTGTAGAAATTCTTCTGTAAAATCTTATTTCTCCAAAATGAACTGTAAAGAATGTTCAGGTCACATGTTGTTTTCAGCAGTCCTTCAAAAGAGGCCATGTCAAAATTATGGATAGTTGATCTCTCCATTTCTTGATAACATGTTATGGTAGCAAAAGAAAGAAAAATGGAACAAAAAAGAAAAAGACATCCAAGCAAAACAGGAAAAAAGGTTGGCAAAGAGAAAGACCAGGGTTCACATCTTGATTCTGCCCACCATAGAGGTTTATGTTTTAGGATTTGTCTGCAAAAGAATGCCAGAATTATCAATCTTAAGTATATCATTAACAATTGAAAATATAGCATTAATTTTATGAAATAGAATTTAAAACTGTTTTTATATACATTGCCATTTTTACAATATTTAATGACAAGATCATATGTGTTTTTTTCAGTTTGAGAAACTGAAAAAGATGCATAGAAGGATAACAAGGAAATGTAAGTCTTTTGAGAGGAAGTGGATATGTTTGACCTTGAAAAGTCTGAGGGGAAATTTAAAAGCATTTTTTCAAATATCTGAATAGCTATCACAAATAGAGTGATGGATATGGTGTAATGGTCTTAATTTGTCAGAACATAGATTCCAGTTGAATGTTATAAAAAGTGAGGACAGTTCAACATTGGATTCATTTGCTACAGAGAAATATGTATAGCTGTTGAAAGGTATTTTCACAGAGAACATATATCATTTTGTGTCTGCATATGGTTTATTTAAAATTTGCCTGCTAATACACTGCTCTATCTTTTGGGCCTAAGTTTATGTCCTAAATGTTAAGTTCTAATATTATATCTTTACCCACAAACCAGTGGTTGGCAATCCCCCCTCCCAAAATAATTTTCCAAATTATGTCTCATTTGTTACATTACAACACATAAAATACTGGTTAGATCTAATTTAACATATATATTACAGTTATAAAAATGTTTTTGGCTGAACATGCTTCCAAATATGAAATACAGGCAGTCCTTGCTTAACGTCCATTCATTTAGCAACAGTACAAAGTTGCAGCAGTACTGAAAAAAGTAATTAATGACTGGTTTTCTCATTTACACATCGTCGCAACATCTCTGCAGTCACATGATTATGACTGAGGTGCTTGCTAATCATTGCATGTTTATGATGGTTGCAACATTCTGCCATCACATGATCACAATTTGTAACCTTCCTAGCAGTTTGTTTCTAACAAAGTCAGTGAGGAAGCTGACAGAGAGGTCTCAAGCTAGTCTGGTAATATCTTGCTTGATAACCATGGTGATTCACTTGACTATGTGAAAATGGTCGTAAAATTGGATGTCAACATGTGATGCTTTCCTTAGTGAAAGTAGCACTTAACAACAAATTTTCCAGTCCCTATTATAGTTGTAAATTGAGGACTACCTATACAATAACTAAAATATTTCCTGACAAAAGAATGTTGTTATTACAGAGTAGATACAGGTCCCATGATTTCACAATTCTTGACATTCAAGAAAATTCATTAAGATTATAAAATTAAAATGATATAACAGAATATGTAACATAACATACAGCTAGATGTTCTGGCTGAAATCTGTTAACACTTTGCAGAGTACCATGTCGATTCTTCTCGTTCCTGCAAAAAGTGAATTTCTTTATAAGAAAAAGAACCATTTGGAATCCCTTTATGCACATCTGTTCTTTCTGCTTATCTCTGGAATTAAGTGCTAGCGCACAGAGCTTCCAAATAAATAAGTTTGTTCAATCGTAGATATCGTATCTGTTGTCTTTTCCTTAGATTCAGAAGCACAGTCTTTGCTGAATCTCAATTTAAGCTGTCTTTGTGGATGCTACGTTCTGTATTGTGGTTATTCAGTTCATTAGTCTTCCACTGAATGCTGGTCCCATTCATGGGGACAGAGGACATCTGACTTCCTGTCCGATGACAAATACAGCAGAGGCATGACTGGCAAGAAAAAAAGAATCCAAACATTACTGGTTTGTTTGTTGGTTAATTTATTTTAGGGAAGACTCACTTTCAGTGGAGAGCAGTATTCTCCAGACTGTAGAAAGCAGAATCAGGCCTGAATGAAATTATACTTCAGAAATGGAATGGAATGGAATGGAATGGAATGGAATAGAATAGAATAGAATAGAATAGAATAGAATAGAATAGAATAGAATAGAATAGAATAGAATAGAATAGAATAGAATAGAATAGAATAGAATAGAATAGAATAGAATTCTTTATTGGCCAAGAAATTTGTCTTGGTGCATATGCTCTCAGTGTACATAAAAGAAAAGATACATTCGTCAAGAATTATAAGGTACAACACTTAATGATAGTCATAGGGAACAAATAAGCAATCAAATCATATTAGGAAACAAGTCAATATAAATTGTAAGGATACCAGCAACAAGGTTACAGTTATACAGTCATAAGTGGTAGGAGATGGGTGATAGGAACGATGAGAAGATTAATAGTAATGCAGTGTAGTAATGTGTAGTAACAATAAAATACAGGGTAAATTTACTCTTAAGCGTACATAATTCCTGGTTAAACTGTGACTAATATGTAGTTAAATGTGAATAGATAAGAAAAAAATACTTCTTTTGTTTCACTGTTCCATACTTTCAGCTTAATTAGACTGTAAAACTATGAAATTTAGAAAACGGATTTGAAATTGATGTAAAAATATAGCTTCTTTTAACAAATACTGTGAGAAACAAATATAATCTGTATTTCAGATAGTTTTCTCTTCTCTTAAAAACAAGAAGTCAAGTATACTAAATTATGAAAGAAGTGGCAATATCTGCTTTAATTATGGTGCGTTTAGTACAATATAACAATTCTTCAGCTTCTATCATTTTGGCACTTTCTGACTAGCTCTACAGTGATTCCCTCTCCCTGTCTGGGAAACATTCCACTAATAATTGTCATTTCCATATGGATGATGTGAAGTAAAGACACTCAAGTTTTTAGTCTTGGGATTATGTATAATTATTGAAGAACCAGGAATCAGCCTATTTTCTGTAAATAGCTGAATCAACATTGAAATGGCCCATAGTATTAGTAAAAATGACACCTCATCTTTTTGTGGAATAAACCTTCATAAAGTCTCAATCTAATGTCTGAAAAATTTGAGATGCTTGTGGCTAAACTGTGATAAATGGTTATTAAAATAATCTAAGATTTAATGACATCAGACCATAATTATAGGCCTCCTCAATGCTTTCCAAATGTATTAGAAAAAGTTTCTCAATTATCAGCCACTATGACAAAATCCTGGAAATTTTCAAAATTCAACATAACTCAAGGAAAGAAAGTTGGAAAAGGCTGCTGTAAAACATCCAGACAAATGTTCCCAAATGTTTGTTTAGGCAGAAAGTGGGTTCTATAATTTAAATATCAATATTTCAAAACACGGGATTACCTTGCAAAAGGATGAATAGTATTCTTTCATATTTATCTTTCACATTTTATTTTTCAATATTACCTTTGATAGGTTTAATTTAATCTTTTTGGCTCTTACCTGGAAACAGTTTTTGAACTTCTTGCTCACAAAATAGAGTGCTATAGGATTTATGCAGGAATTGATGGTTGCTAGGTTAATGCTGATATAATCCATAGTCAACAAAAAGCTAGGATCAAAAACAGAAAACGTTACAATCCTCCTAATGGTGGGTAAATATTTCTCAGCCATTATAATTTTGTGAAACTATGATGCCACATCTGTGTCTCCTTCAAAACTCTCCAGTGTCTGAGGTAAAAATGAGTTAATAGAATTGCAGGTGCTTAGGAGAATTAGAAGAATTAGGACTATGAAGCACAGCGTTCAAATAATAAAGCATTTATAAATGAACAGACGCATAATAGCAAACCTTGGGTTATAAAAAGTAAAATTCTGGAGCCATTTAAAATATAATGTGAGTTTGACAAAAAAATGATGGCATAACAAGAAGTCCTCGCGTTACAACTGAGCCCAGAATTTCGATCTAAAGTCATGGTGGTTGTTAAGCAGGTTATTATGTGACCTCACCCAATTTTACGATCTTTTTTGCAGTGGTTGTTAGGTGAGCAGGTGCTATATAAATGTTGCCATCACTAAGCAAACACTGCAGTCATTAAGCAAACATAGTGATGGTTAGGCAAACCCACAATGGGCATTTTTTTTGCCAGAAAATAGAAGTAAATGCCAGCTTGCAAGAAAAAAACATTGTAAATTGTAGTCATATGACTAATGAATGCTGCAAAAAGCTGTAAATATGGGACAGTTGCCAAGCAACCAAAATACAATCACATAATGGGGGGGGAGGTTGTCATCAAAACTGGGTTGTAAATATATTTTGGTTGGTTCATTGTTCACCATTGCTAAGTGCTTGCTCATAAGTAAATACTATCTGTTTTTCATATTAATATAATTAAGAAGAAACAGACCTAAAGATTACTATCCTTTTAATTACTTGGGAGTAGGCTCAGTAGAGGTTAATTATAAGATTGCCTGGATAATTACTGGAATAGCTGGAAGGCAACTGTCTCTTCACCTGCTTCAAAAACAGGTAACATAATATTACAAAGCCAAGGTGCATAACCTGCATCCTTAGGTTGCCCGTGACCCTCAAATCCTTGGGAACACCACTCGTCAGCTCTTCACCAAATAGCTGCTGAATTTTAACGTGTAATATTGAAGAAGGGTTAAGTTATTAAACATATTGCATTAACATTATTGTAATTTAATTATATTTATATTTAATTCAAGTTTAATTTTTGTCCTGGCCTTCCCCCACCTTTTGGAAAATGGTCCCAGCCCATTACTTAAACATCAAATGGAACTGCAGTCTCCCAAGAAGAAGTTGAACACCCTTATTTAGAAAGTGGAGATAAACTAGATGAAAGACTGACTAGTCATGTTTACTCTTATATTAATGAATTTATAAGTTATGAAAATTATGCAGTTAGTGTTCAGTATATTTTGGAGGAAAAATTAACCATTAAAAAAATCTCACCATACCTTATTTTTAACAATAAAGAAAAGAATTTTGAAGACATTTTTGAGTCTCAGAGCTAAGTACCAAAGTCTCCACTCTTTTGCTGTTTAAAGATTCAAAGAAAAGAAAAGCAAAAAAAGAAGAAGAAAGGAATCTTGATATACAAAGGTAATTACATCCATGGCTCCTAATTGAGTTGTACTTCCAACTCTGTTACTGTTACTTTCCTTGAAAAAGATGGTGAGTTAGATGGTGTTTGTCCTAGATTTATGGCTCTGATAAGTGCAATCACTGGAGATTCCAGTGAGACCAGAAGCGTCTTTGACCCAGGTTGGATGTGCATAGTTGTGACCCTTCCTATGTGACATTCCTATCATTTGCTGGTTAGACTATTTAACTGTACATGGGATGCCCTTAAGTTTTGGGGATGTTCAAAACTTATAACTGGCATTCAATGTAGATGCCTGCTTGCAGTCTGGTGGAAACTGGTTCAGTACACTACACCTCTGCTGCTTTGATTGCCTGTAAACTTCTGGGCTCAATTAAAGATGGTGATCAGGATTTATAAGGCTCTTTTTTGCTCAATTCTTTGTTGCTTTGGGACCATCTGTTCCAGGTGGATTCTGCTCATTCTATAGCTAAGGAGTAGTTTGGATTCTCATTCCTTTAGGAATGGAGACTTGGGAATATGACCTTTTTAGTTGCAGCCCCTTCACTTAGGAGCTATTTGGTGAAGAGGTGAAGATTGCTTTTACCTAGCATTTAGTAAAGCAATAAAAACAGGGCTTTTCGACGGGACCTTGAGAGAAGAGAACCTTAAATAAGGCAACCGGCAGCATCTTGGGGCAGCTATTAACCGCTAAGGAGCATTGGTTATATTTTATGTTGATTAAATGGTCATGTTTTTATAATCGCAAACAATACATAATCCATTAGTAAGTAGAATATAAATACTTGTATAAAACATAAATAATAAAATGTTATGTAGTCATGCTAACTCAGTTATTGTGTTGCTGCATTCATCTGTCATCAAAATATTTAATATCACACATTAAAATAGTACCTGAAGAATTCACATCTATTGGGGTCTTTTTCGTCATAGAACATATTTCTCAGTATCTGGCTTAGATGCATAGGAAACCAGCAAAGAGCAAAAATCACAACTAAACAGAAAACTGTTTTAGCAACTTCTCGGCGCTATGGGGGGAAAAAAAGACAATGATTCGCAAACATAAGCCAAGGCAAATGTGAAGCAACTAAGGAGGAAAATGTGAAAATGGCTCAAATGAGCAATACTCAAGAAAAAAAGATTCGTTTATTTCTAACAACTTGTCAAAATATGTTCACTTGTGGAACAAAAAAATTACAACTAAAAAGTATCAGAGAAAGTAGTTCAAATATTATGAAGGCAAGCAGAGGTTGGAATGGGACAACCTGGTGCAGCCAACTTGCCACAATGAGTCGCAGCCAACTCGTTGCAGAGCAACTCAGTGCAGGACAATTCAACAATTTAATTTAAATATTTAAAATATTTTTTAAAATATTTAAATTTTTATCATTCAGATTTCATTGTTCCTCCTTTTTCTTCCTTTATTTAATTATTCTATTTCACCATTTATTTGATATTAGTGTAACTCTTGTCCCGCAGCGAGTTGGCAGTGGTGAGTTGAATTGTCCTAGACCCAGCAGAAGTTGTATTTAAATTAGACAACAACCAGTTTCAACATAGGGTAATTCAATGTCAACATAATTCAAAATAAGAAATGTCAAAGTAATCAGATTATATCCACATGCTTTTAAAAAGCTATATTGTTTCAACAAGTAATGGCAAAAATGTGGCAAGATACAACAATACCAAAAGTTATAAGTTATCAAACTTTGTGGTGCTATAATCTTTTAACACTTAAAACAGAATTCATCTTTCTCATCAACTTGATATTCAGGAATTTGGTTTAAATAATACAATTAAACTAAAGTTAAATTGAAACCCTTGAGAAATGAAGTGCTATTATATTGACTGAACGATGAAGAGAAAAATCAAACTAAAGAATTCTCTTAGACAAAGATGACATTTCTTGATAATAAAATATTAGGAAATTTGATTCCTGATGGTTCTCACTCAATTAGCACTTTGAAAAGCTATAAAGATTTATTTATTTGTTTTGGTGGTTGGCACCCACTTGTTGGATGTCAATTGTGGGCAGCATGTTTTTTTGGGAGGAGGGCTTGCCAGGTTTACCATTTTGCTCTTCTTCCTTTCATTTTTCCTCAGTCATCCTGTTTTGTTATTGTTTGGTATACTATTTTTATATTGTTTTGGTGTATTGTGAACCGCCCAGAGTAATTTGAAGTTAGTCATTGTCATCAAATAAATGAATAAATAAATGGTTGGCAATTATAGCAGCTGAGACCCAATACTTGGAATATGTATTAGACCAAAGAAGGTTCTTAGTAAACAAAAAATCCATATACAAAGTAATTTGAACTCTATAATAGATTACCTCATTAATTGTTTGCAGTTTAAATTGCCCTAATGTTCTGATTGCCCAACTACACTAAGTCAAAACTCACCTTTCTGTTCTCAGAAGGAATATTGTTGAGATCAAAAGTTTACAGAATAAAGCTTTCATGACTGACTGGAAATGCATGACAAAACCGTTTTCTCCTTACCTGCTTAAGATGTTCACTGAGAGCAATTCTCAAATTACTCTTCCTCCTGTTCAACATTTCACAGGTCATCAGGGTATAAAAGAATGCCGTGCAAGCAAGTGGCATGCAGAAATAGAAACCAAAGAGCCACCAGTGTTTTATTTTAATGTAAAACTGCAAAGACATCAAATGTGACAGGTTATGGCTAAGTAACTTGCAGTACCATTCTGTAATTTCCATAGAACATGCAGGCTACATGCTTTGCCAGCTTTCACAACTAGAAGCTTCCAAAACTGTGGATTTCAAGGCTCAAGATTTAGAGCAATCCTGTTTGAAGAATTTTAGAAGCTCACTTCTGGAGAGTACCAAGCTGAGAAATTGTTCTACACCAGAGGTGCGGAACAATAGCCATCTCTTTATGACTTGTGGACTTCAACTCCCAGAATTCCTGAACTAGCAGAATTCTGGGAGTTGAAGCCCACAAGTCATAAAAGGGGCATCATTTTCCACCTCTGTTCTACACAAAAGAGTAATTGGCATAAATACAACTGCAAAAAATATCACAGTTGAAAAATATAACAGTTAGGAAAATATCACAGTTAGGAAAGTATTTCTATTTTTGCCACTGATTTCAAAAGACCGTTTCACAACAATCAGGACTAATTTAAGAGATTCTGCTGCCTGAAATGCTATATCGTATACCTCCTGTTCCTAAATAAATGAGCCTTGGTCAGGCTGAACATTTAGCACCTGGATTATAGGCAGAATACACATGCACTAAACATATATTTTTGGTCATGTTTGAATTTTTCTAATATATTTATCATAAACAAAATGGAATAATAAGAATGTGATTTAATTAGAAGTAATAATGGAATTGTTGCATTATTTACTGGTTCATAATAAAACTCCATAACACATTTTCAGAACATATTCAGAAAAGAATTATGCTAATTTTTGCATAAAAAAGCAGTCCAACCCAAAACAGTATCTATTTAGAATTAAAGCTATTGAAGCTGTTGAATGCATCAAAGCAACTTCTAGATTACTCTTTGTTGAGGTAGAACCATAGATTCCAAAGATTTGAAAATCTTTTTTTAAGTCTCACTATATATATTCAGAAAATATTTGCTCCAAAATATCTATAAATAGGGCTGTAACCAAATCTTACTCCCACTATTCCTTTTTGATAATTGCACTATCCTTAATGTTCTCTTCTCATAGACATAACACACACATACACAATCTATCCATACACACTGAGATAGGCAACCAAATCACTGCATCAGCAGAATACGTAACGTTGGGCTACATTTTTAGACCAATTACATTTGGTCTCGGCTTTCCAATAATATACTGATTTGCTTGAAAGATTCAGTAAGATATTGGATTTACATGAAAGATCCAGTGTAATCTAGTGATTATACTAGTGTTAGATTTAGACCAGAGAGTTCAACATTTACTTCCCATTAAGTCACTTTTTCTCAGCACAGCCTATCTACATGGCTTTTGTGAAAATAAAGTTATTGGAAATTCTCCAGATCTGACACCTTCAACTCCCAGAGGGGGAAAAAAAGTGGGATACAAATGTAATAATTAAATCATTAACTAAAGAAAGTTCAGCCAGAATAAAATTTCCATTCCTGCATTAAAGTCAAATGATTAATGGCTGTTAAGGCTTTAATAGGTAATTTTAAGCAACGTTAACAGAAAACAACGTTTTCTATTTCATGAATAAAATCTAGAAAGATACAGTACCAATATTGGTCTTATCTTTTGATATGCTATTGCTCAATAACAAGTCCACTAAAATTTTGTTTTCTCAACTATTTTAACCACAATTATTCTTAAAGATGATAAGACCAAAGACTAAGAGCTCATTGCCTAAAACTACGATTTTATCAGAAAACTAACTGCGCAGGAAGAATGCTGTATACTTTATTGAGATGGACTGTAGTAACAGAGTCTTGCAGGTCTGCCCCAGTCTTCCTATCCCTCCCTCTTGAACTCCAGGGAGTCAGAGAAGGTCTAACTTAACTCTCTTTGTATTTTGCCTATCTGGACATAACACATATTTCTTCTTTACCTATTTGCCTAATACCCTCTGAACTCCTTCTGCAAGGTCACCTTCCTGGCTCCCTTCACCAGGACATTCCTTCTTCAGAAAAATGAACATCCTGTACAGATATGCATAAACAATCTTATAACTAATTTAACTGAACAGAGTGGCTGGATTCATATAATGTGCTAAGTCTAATATGGTTGTTTTGGCTTATCATATACTCATTCATTATTTGTCATGTATAAACTGGGCATGACAATGCTTAAGCAATCCCATTCTATGTTTTATGTAGAAGTAACCTGTGAAAAATAACATTAAGTGCCTTCCTTGCAGTTATTTTAGGCTCTGAACTATTATATAATCTGGATTTGTAAGCAAACAACTATGATCTGCGCTATTCCTTAACCTAGGGAACCTACGGCCCTCCAGATGTTGTTGAATTAAAACACTCAGGAGTTTCTACACAGCAGAGCTGATGATTGGATGCAATACAAATTCCTCAACATACCCGTTTCTCACCATAAGTATCTTCGCATATAAACAAAAGAAGAAAAAAAGTAAAGACAGAGTATGGACCAGACTGAATTGGCAGGAGATGAATAAGGAAGGTGTTTAATCAGCCTATTGAAGTCTCTTGCAAGAGGAAGAAGGTAGGAAGTAAAAAAATAAGAGAATTCTCTTACAGAGAATAAAAGCACTTAGATTCTGATCTCTCTTCTGTGTGTGTTGTGTTTATTGGAAGATATCCCTGTATTATCAAAACTGACTTTTAAATCCCAGTGATTAAATACTTCCTATCTGTGTATTAAAATCAAAGGGCACCAGGAGTCATGCGAATTGCCTGTCTAACAGAAAGCCTGGTCTGTTACCTTTTAAGGCTTTTAAGACTGGCTCTGATTCCAAAAGGTCCAGGTTAAGAATGTCTTCTATGTATAATTGGGCCCTGCTATCAGTAGAAAGATTAACTGTCTTGCTTTTGTGTCCAGCAAAAAGAGGCCACTTAACATGTCTTAGTCTGGAAAATGTGGAGTACAGCCTGCTTTTTCCAGTTACTCTGTTTCTCTAGTTGTTTTAACCCCCTGCCTGGAATGTAACCCTTTGCATCGTATGCTAGGAGAAAGAATTGGTGGTCTGTGTGAATATCAGTTTTGCCTATATGCATGTTCTGTTCATTTCTATATATGAGTGGCAGGCACACATACAAAAATATACACTTACATGTCAAGTGAAACATCTCCTATTCCCAATTATTTATGAATTAGATTGGTATATATGGGATTCTTTGTCCTCATCTCCTTTCCATTTAGTTGTTTATTCTGATGCTATTTTACTTGTTTTCGTGTGAGAAAATCATCATGCAAATAGCTAAGGATTATGTTTGGCTCTTTGTAGTCAGAAATCTGCTATTTTGTTTATGCATAACTAAACCAGAAAAGCTAACTTTGGAATTAGATTAAACCTTTACTGTAACTAATATAATCTTAATAAATGGTGTTTTACTTTTACAGGCATTGTTTACATGTGAAGTCAGCACACAAAAATAGGATTTTTCCCCTTTCTTACCAGAGCCTGCTAGATATATTAAGGTTACAGTTTATAAAGTTCCCAATCAACACCATCTTTCTCACAAGTGATGCTATTAAGAATGTCTAGAAGACAGTTTTAGTGAGTTAAATGTAGCAATGATAGAACTAAAGGCAATTTTTAAAAGACATTTTTCATATTTAAAGTAGGCAAATTTAGCATAAATGTGATGAAAATGGGTTCTCCTAACAAGGCTCTCTGATCTAGATTCCACAAATTGATATAACATCTACATGTGAGTTACACCGAAGTGACTCTAGCAGAAAGGGCTACTCTTGAAGTTCCTTCAACTGAGCAATGCATCCAGTACATATGTAGACGAGATGCCCTTATGAATAGCAGAGCATCATTTCAGCAAGAAATTAACACTTGTTCTGGAATTTTGGATACTTTTATGCAAGCACACATTTAATATGCCTCCTGGAAATGGCAAGATATGCAATGCAAAACTGCATTACACTGATTCAACACTGATTCATTTAATCTGAGTTCTCACTCCCTGTAGATTGTTAATTTGATCTCCAGATTAACGTATACAGCAAGTGACCAGTGTTGATGGTAGAAATGGCTGCTTGGTCTTTTTCTGCGCAACTGTTTCTATGCCCGTCATCTGTTACTTGAATTACTTTTGCATACAAAATTAGTACTATTCTGGGATAGCACTATGCCCCTATCTTAAAAGAGCACAACTATCAGCTGACTGTAGCTATGCAAAGCACTTGCACAAAATACAGGCAGCTTTTTATAATGGTTACAATGATGGGTCCTTTTCAACTTTTAGATGAAGGTGCCTTATAAAGCCACATGGATCTCTCTTGTCTATTATTATTTGAAAGGCAGCAGTTCAAAATTTAGTCATTTCCAATCCTAAATTTATGATGCTCTTTATAATATAACTTCCAAGAGACTAGAACCCAAGGCTTTTAGATAATTAAATGAATCAATCTGACTCCCAGGATCAAAAATGTGAAGATGTTTACAAACAAAAGGATATATATCTAGTTTTTTCCCAGAAAGTCACATCTTGTTTGGACTAAACTCTCTTCCTTCAGTACTCAATATTCAATACTCATCCAGGATTAAGTTACTGTGCTAGAGAAAAATGAATGCTAAAAATATGAAAAATCGATCTTATTTAGCATTTAATATGTAAGATTTTGAAGTTAAGAACTAAACCAAGATTTTTTTCAAATGATGAATTACAGCTGTTAAAGCTTACATAGATTTTGCAACTAACCAATGTTGTACTTCGATATAAGTGGCACAGACATCCTTTTGTCTACAGTATATAAATCCACATGGAACTAGTTTTCTCCAGGAAATGGCCCTTTTCCCATGTTCCCTAAGGCACTTGGCCTTTTGGGATTTAGATTCTAGGACAAACATTGGAAAGATAGACTTAAAAATAATGAAGTGTTTTCTAAGAAAACACAAAGGAAGTAACCACGGAAAACTATGAAGTTTTATTGATATTAACCTTCACAATTTATTCAAATATTTGCTATAAAATAAATCAAATTTAAGTCAGGCATCATCATTCTAGCTTTAATTCATATATTTAAAAACCTCTTTGACTTGCTTCAGCATTTCTTTGTTTTGTTTAGACACATCTGTGAGTGTGTATTTGGTTGTCTCCAAATACACAAGAAAAGGTTATTTCTTGCCTTCCAATCTAGGGCACCTAGATAACTAGCTATTTTTCCTAGGGTAAAATGAGAAGAATTTAACATATCATAAGCAGTCATAGTTATATTTTCGGTAATGCTTTGTTTTGTTAAACTTCTAGCAGCTATAAGAAGAATGAGAGAGGATGAAACTATTTAACTATTTCTAGCTAGTTCTTTCACTTATTCTCTTTTTTTTTCTATGGACCCCAGAAATGGTCTTGGGATAAGGCAGGAGTCGGCAACTTTAAACACTCAAAGAGCCACAAAGGTCCTAACCGGAAGCCCCCCGTTCAATTCTGGAGCTGATCGGAAGTCTGGTTCCCCCACCATAGAGTGTCCTCCTAGCGTGGCCTCCTTTTTCCTCTACTTGTCCTAATCAAAAGCCATATCAATTGTGGAGCTGACTGGTGACAGGGAGCCGCAGCAGAGGGATGCAGCTCCAGAGCAGCAGGTTGCCAACCCCTGGGATAAAGGACTAGTCAGAAAACTAAAGGTTCCACTGAAACATGGTATTCTTTCATATAAGCTACCAGGCATTCAGGGGGGGGATAAAGTATCTAAAAGTATCTATCAAAGCAACATGTATGTTTTCATAAGCAGTTACTGAAATGTAGAGCAACAAAGATGATTAGAGGACTGGAGGCTAAAGCATACGAAGAACGGTTGCAGGAACTGGGTATGTTTAGTTTAATGAAGAGAAGGACTAGGGGAGACATGATAGCAGTGTTCCAATATCTCAGGGGCTGCCACAAAGAAGAGAGAATCAAGCTAGTCTCCAAAGCACCTGAGGGTAGGACAAGAAGCAGTGGGTAGAAACTAATCAAGGAGAGAAGCAATTTAGAACTAAGGAGAAATTTCCTGACAGTTAGAACAATTAATCAGTGGAACAACTTGCCTGCAGAAGTTGTGAATGCTCCAACACTGGAAGTTTTTAAGAAGAGGTTCGATAACCATTTGTCTGAAGTGGTGTAGGGTTTCCTGCCTAGGCAGGAGGTTGGACTAGAAGACCTCCAAGGTCCCTTCCAACTCTGTTCTTCTATGTAGCTTGAAAACTGAACAGATGAAAACCTTGTCCTTTGTTGTGTTAATGTCTATCCTTAAGTTTGCAGAAAACCTGAAAGGTATTGTCCTTGCCAGATGCTGTCCTGCATTTACAGAAACTGTATGTGCTGAACCAATTTTTTGTATACAGGTAGTCCTTGACTTACAACCATTCATTTAGTGAATATTCAAAGTTACAATAGCACTGAAAAAAGAGACTTACCACTATTTTTCACACTTATGAGCACTGAAGCATCCCCATGGTCATGTGATCAAAATTTGAGTGCTTATCAACTGGCATTATTTATGACAGTTGCACTGTCCAAGAGTCATGTGATCACTATTTGTAACCTTCCCAGTCAGCCTCTGACAAGCAAAATCAATGGGAAAGCCAGATTCACTTCAAGACTGCATGATTCTCTTAACTGTGGTTTTAAAAGGTCATAAACTAGAACAAAACTCACTTTAACAAATTTTATACTCAACTGTGATTATAACTTGAAGACTCCCTGTACAACATGTGACCAGCAAAGAGAATGTTTAAGTCTTCCAATTTAGTTGCCCTCTGTCATTAGCACATCCCAGCTTGCAGAAAAAAATCACCTACAATCATGATACTGTAACAGCAGCTGGGCATGTCCAGTTGTAGAACTGTGCCTGTTTCCTGTATACTTCTTCCTATTTTTTCCTCTTATACCATTAAGAGCCGAGGTGGCGCAGTGGTTAGAATGCAGTACTGCAGGCTACTTCTGCTGACTGCCGGCTGCCTGAAGTTTGGCAGTTCAAATTTCACAGGCTCAAGGTTGACTCAGCCTTCCATCCTTCCAAAGCTGGTAAAATGAAAACCCAGATTGTTGGGGGCAATATGCTGACTCTGGAAACCACTTAGAGAGATCTGTAAAGCACTGTGAAGCGGTATATATTAGATAGATAGATAGATAGATAGATAGATAGATAGATAGATAGATAGATAGATAGATAGCCAAATGATACTATGGGGGTAGATGAGTGAGCAACAGCATTTTTTTCCAATATATGGACAACAAATGCTTCATTTAAAACTCCTACATATTATTTTTAGAAGGCAAAGAGGTAGAGTTAGCTCCACCATTTTACTGTTATGCTATTTCAGCCTGTTTGGTAATTTCATCCCACTTTTTCTGAGTTCCAATTCCAGTCCTGTGATAAAAGAAATAAGGGCTCAAAAATTAAGGACTAAATCAAAGCTGCAAGCACATCTACACTTAATAATAATCCTAACTGATTACTGGACCTTTATATCTCTTGAGACAGTCATCAGTAAAATTATGACAAACCAGGAATCAATGTATGGAGACTATGAGTCCACATCAGCCTGATACAGCCTATAAACACTACAAGGATCCCACACATTTATAGACACCAGACCTTACCTAATCTGCAATTGCTTTTGGATTTTGTCAGTTCAAGGAGAAAAACTTTAATGCTGGTACAACTATGAATGATTTAACCCTTTCTGGGTCATGGGCTAAGACAAGATGAAGGCAAAAACAACAAAAACCACACTATATTCCTCTTATAGTTATGTGCAAATGGGGAAAGGCCACTGTTCTAATTAGAACCTACTGTAGAAAGGTCAAGTTGAAACAAATGAAACAAAGCTGAAATGGAACTCCTACATGCAGTTTCCCAGAGGTTTGCAGTCCTATTTGTTGTGGCCCCGCCCTCTGAGCCTATCTCATCGGAGGAAGAAGGCTCCGAACATGAGGGCCTCCCTCTCCAGGCCCCTCCCCTCTGGCACTGCCTCAGGTGCCGGCTGAGGGAGAGGAGATTAGCCAAGAGCCAGGTGTCTCTGATGAGAGCGAGGAAGGAGAGCCGTTGTTCCTGGATGCACACCAACGAAGTCGTGATAAACGGTTGCAGCAGTTAAGGAGGCATGCTAGGGATTAGAACTGAGTCACTGGACCACACCCCAGAGACTATATAAGAGAGGGTGGTGGCTGGTAAAACTCTGTAACGAACAAAAACTAACTCTGGCTAGTCACTTGAACAACGCCTGAAGCTGCCGAAGGGATATTGTTTTGCTGGACTATTTACAATGCGTATGTAATGTTATGTTATCTGTTGAAGTAAAGCTCTTGGCAGACGGTGCTTATATTGTTGCCAAGTTTGAGATAACGACCTGTGTGTGTGCCAAGTGCTTCCTTAACCCTCGGCTGGCTGTGTTTGTGTGTGTGTGGAGACGGGGACAGATCACTATTCAAGGGTGTTATCCATAACGATCAACCAAATGTCTTCGAAACGATGGAAACATTCTTTTTCATATGGTTGTTCTTTTCCAAGTAGTAGTTGGAAGCATAGCCATTTGGGTAAGTTTGGGCCAGTCATTCTCTCTCAGCTATAGAAACAAGGCAAGGGCAAATGCCTTCTCAAAACCTTATCCCACAAGCTGCAGAGACTACTCCACACAGTTTTTCAGAAGTTAACATTGACTTAAAGGCACAAATATGCACACACATCCATCTGAAACTGATATTTGGGGTATGCCATCTACTAACCCATAGGTAACACTGAACTTTCAAAACTAATAGCCTTTGATAAATTTGTTTTTTATCAACCCCCACAACACACATATTTCCCCCCCTGACCTTCCATTTTTTCTTAATCCTAATTCTCCAAATTGTCCCATTGTTACTGATTAAAAGACAAACAGTCATCACAACAAAATTGTTTTGCGTAGCTGATATAATAACATACTTTCAAGAAGCTATTGTTTGGTATTAGCATACAGGTTTTGAGCCGTTTTTCATGATAAATCAACTCTCCAATGGTGAAACCAATTGCTTCTGGAATAGCCAGGGCGAAGGAAAGAATCCAAATACAATAAATTTCAATGGCAGTAATCAAGGGGATACCAATTCCCTGAACACGACTCCAGGAAGCAACTGCTCGGTACCTAAAATATAGAAAAAAAATTACATTGTCAGCTTCAGCTCTTTATAAAAGTTAAAATTTTCAAGACAGGTATAATACAACAGACACATTTCAAGATTCTTCAAATAGGTGCCCGATTAATGAAAAATAGGTGAAAGCACATAGTTGAAAAAGTAGTGAAGAACGAGCAGGTTAAAATATCATGGGATTTCCAAATTCAAACTGATAAAGCCTTGGCTCACAACAGACTGTGGTTGAAAAGAAGAAAATCTAAATAATTGATGTGGGAATATTAGGGGAGAGTAGGAAAGAGGACAAACGATTGGAGATCATAAAGTATCAGATCTAAAAATTAAAGTTGACATAAATCACTGCACTGGGTGCCACATCATAAAATCATGGATAGCAATTAGAAAATATATGGATTGACAAAATTTCCATCTGTAAATTGTAAAAGGCCACACTGATTGAATCCATTTATATATTATGTTGACACAGTATGATATCCTAGGTTTCTGGGAAGAACTTGATGCAAATGATGGCCAACACCAGTCAAGAAATGGCAGCTGTGATTTTACATTGTCAGGTGTATATATAATAATAAAAACCTGGAGATAGCAGAATAGAAGGGAAACAACTGGAGAAAATAACAAAACTCAAAAAAGACCTGAAAATAAAGATAAAACCTCTGTGACAAAAAAGGACCGATAATAATAACAATAAACACCTTGATAAATTGATAAGAAAGACAAAAAAAGTCTAGATATTGGACACTGCAATACCTGGAGAGAGTAGAAGACAAGAGAAAAAACTGGAGAAAACCACAAAATATAAAGACTACAAATAGAAGTAGAATGACTGTGGCAAAAGAAAACAAAGCAACTTCCAAATAATAATAGGTGCCTTGGGTCCGATCCCAGACAACTGGAGTACCACTTGAACACCATCATCATTAACAAAATCATCCAGTTGCATAAGGCAGCTTTCCTCGGAACAGCTTACATCCTGCAACGATACCTTTAATGCCATCAAACATCCACATCCAGGTCCTTGGAAAGGACTCAATAGGTGGATAAAAACGCCAAAGCCAACATCTTGCTTACTGCAAGAAATTATAATATTCTTAGACACTTCCTTAACAGTTTTGAGGTCCTTGGTTCATGCTTGGATTATTACATTTCCACCAGCTTTGGACTGAATCTAACCATATATTACCCTCACAATACACCCCCAAAGTAGTTTCTGATAATCATTTATCACCACAAGATCCTTTCAAAATATGCACACCATCCAAAGACAGACATCCCAGTTATAGATATTCTTTCTCGGTGTTGTGGTCTGCGGGCGGCCTGCAGAGATTGCAGCAGAGTTGGACAGTGAGGAGGTTGGGGAGGAACATGGGCGAGTCCTGGAGTCTGGGGAAGGCTTGGACGAGAACTCTGCCATCTAGGAGTTATGTGCTGCCTCTGGAGCCTCCAGATAGGACATCAGTGAGGCACCAGTGCGTGCGTGCGCAGAGCTGCCAGAAGGCAAGAACAGTTAAAACAAAAGGGACGACTTGGGAGTAGGGCTTGGAGATGATTGGCCCCTCCCATAAGACATAAAGGAGGAGCAAAGGCACGTGAGCCTTTGCAGGAAGCAACTTTGTTTGTTCTAGTCGGTTTAAATTCTGAAGCTCCATTTTGACTCTGTGCTCCTTGTGGCCTTGCAAAGCTAATTGCCAATTAGGTCTTTGGCAGGTGTCAAGGGAGATAAAGGAAGCCTAGATCAGAACACTCGGCTCTGCCCCTGGAAGAACAAGAGAGGGCAATTTTCTTGTAGCCAGGGCCACACTTCTCACTTCCTTGCCCTTCATCTATAAAGGATTTGACTGATAATGTCAATGAAATCACTGATATGGACACAGCTAAAACTGTAGACTCTCTGACATTCCTGAATTGTGTTAATGAACAAAATGGTTGCTTTAGACATACAAAGTCTAGGGTATCCATTCAAACCATTAATTCTTCTAATGGGAAAAATGAGCCAGTTGAAGAATCATTGATTTTTAAAGAGGTGAAAAGCATTTGAAGTAAGGTGGACCTTCAATTTTCTCCAAAAAATAGTTATTTGGGAGGGCCCTGAGGGCTTTAGAGATGCCCTAGATATGATATGATCAAAATTGTGTCAGAAAATTGCATGGCCATTTCTTTGGTTCTCTTTATTAAAAAAATATTATGGGGTCTTTCAACTAATAAATGAAGTATTGTTATACTGAAAAAAATAATATAGTGAAATACAACATAGAATGAGAGGCTAAATTTGAAAATTAAGCAAGAAGCTATTTATGTAAGTAAAAATTTAAAACTCCAGGTCAATATATAACATTCAGTTATGGACTCTCTTGATAATTTTTCATATATGAAAAATGTTCACAGAAGGGAATAATATATTTCTTACCTGTCTACACTTAGGGCACAGAGATTAAGAACAGTGACTCCCACAGATGCCTTCTGAATAAAAGGAACAACAGGGCAAAGAAATTGTCCAAACTGTGTCATCGCAAAGGCATATGGAAAATGAAGCTATAAGAAAAAAGAAAAAGAAACAATTAAAAAGTACATATAGAAAACATGAGCATGCAATGGAACCAAGGAAGATTCAAGTTATCTGCAGTATTCTTTGTACATTACTATTACCCTGTTTCCCCCAAAATAAGACTTCCCCTGATAATAAGCCCAATCGGGCTTTTGAGTGCATGACAATAAGGCCAAGCGCTTATTTCAGGGTTCAAAAAAATAATGACAGGGTCTTATTTTTAGGGAAACACAGTATCAGTAGTGTAGTAGTATGACTAGAATGATTGACAGAATAAAATATTTTTACATATTTTAGGAAGGGCACATTTATTTTCTAGAAATAAAAAAAAATGCAATGGGTTTTAAGCAATGTAGCATTATTTACCAATAAACATTCTGACCAGCTTAGATGACAATTCTGCTCAAAGCATTATCTATCAATTCTACTCCAAGGTTTCATGCATTCATTCTGAGGCGCAAATAAGTCTCCTATGCTTTGTTTCCCTGAAGTCTCTTCCCTCTGTATTTACCAATTTAAATAGCTTGTGATATTGAGCAGAAAATACACTTAAACTGAAGTAGAAGGCAGGCAGGAAATACCTAACTCCTTTCTAAAACTCTTAGGTCAGCTGAAAAGCATCACCCAAAAATTCACCCCCTGGGCTTGGATAAGGCACTTTAGCCCTTCCATAAATCATGATGTCAGCATAAATAGCAATCAGGGTGTTAAAAATTCCCACTGGGAAGGAAAAGTGTTACATTGCTTATCAGGAGCAGCTAATACATTACATCCAACCAACTGACAACAGCAGTTGGTTGGACATACTTCTACCAACTTCTACCAATATACTGCGGTCATTGGACACTAAAGTGAAACTAGGCCTTTCTGGTTCTGTGAAGAAAGGAAAGTTCAGAACAAGTACATATTTTCCCAAATACTAGAATTCACATACATATTGCTTTTTCGTCCCAATTTTCTGTTTCAGTGGACTGATGTCAGGGACTCCATTTGTATAATATATTCACTGGGAAGATTTTGTTGAAAAGGTTTTCAGGGCAACCTACATCCTCCTCTTTCTTTTCTTCTTACAATATTTTGTTGATGAAATTTAACAAAGTTCAATCTTCTTTAATAGATGTACCATTAAATAATACATATCTTTATTAAAGTTTTGAAACTATATTTCTCAAAACAAATTTGCTGAATAATGTCTTGCATAGTACAATTCTGATCCCAAATTTATAAATGGAAACCAGAAACTTTCAAATATTTTAAGGCTTTGCTTCTGGAATTCAGGAAAACTGACCAGATAATTACAACTTATTGAGCCCTCTAACCTTGTTTTTTTCATTCTGCCAAACAAGACGCAAATGCTGAGAAATTTCACTTGGATGAATTCTCTAAAAGTGACTTATTGTTTGCACATGAACCTCAGAAAAACTTCATGTTAGAAAACCAGAAAAAATTCTTACAGTAAGTACTAATTTTAATTTAAGTGAATGCAAATATTCTTCTACTTACACACATTATACTGTACTGTAGTAGATTGACCCTACAAACCAGCATATAGTTTAATAATTTATTCTATAAACCAAGGTTATGGGGGAAAATGTTTTAGTATTAAGCTGGAACCCAGTCAAAATGTTTTAAATTAACAGAATAAAAAAAATCAAGTCCAATACATATTTTGATGATTTTCGTCCATTGTGTTCGAAGAAGACTTTGACATCTAACAGGTTGTGGGCTATCCATGATATATCTGCAGGTGGCTGGTAAGTCCTATATGGGCATGAAATGTTCTGCCACATGTCGGGCAGACATGTGTGGACACCATTGTTGCAGCATTTGCAGCTCTGGCTTTGCGGAGTGCTCGCTTCTCTTGTGCTATGGTTGTTTTTCTGTCCTCTGATGTCTGGCAGCCTTGGTGGATCAGCGTGCACCATGTCAATCAATCTTGTGCCAGGATTTCCCAGGAGGTGGTGGCGATATCCAGGGACTTGAAGGAGGCTTTCAATGTGTCCCTGTATCGCTTCCTTTGTCTCCCATGCAATCGGTTTCCTTGATGCAATGGTCTGGTATCCATACAACATGGCTTGCCCAGCGTGTCTGGGCTTTCATCAGCAGGGTGTGAACTGATGGCAGGCCTGCTCTGGAGAGGACTTCTGTGTCTGGCACCTTGTCCTGCCACCGGATCCTCATAATTCTATGGAAGCAGGTCATGTGGAAGTGGTTCAATTGCCTAGGTGCCTCCTCTATACAGTCTACATCTCACTGCCATACATCAGGGTAGTTAGCACTACTGCTTGGTAGACTTTGAGTTTTGTAGCAAGGCTTATTTCATGGTGGTCCCACACGTTGGTCAGTAGTCTGCCAAATGCAGAGCTTGCCTTGGCGATTCTGCAGTTGACCTCAATGTGAATTGTCACTGCGCGGGAGAGGGTGCTGCCAAGGTATGTAAATTGGTCCACTGCTTGCAGCTTTTGTCCCTTCACTGTAATGGTGGGCTCTTGGTGTTGGGCTTTCAGAGCTGGCTAATACATCACTTTGGTCTTCTTTATGTTGATGAGGAGGCTGAAGTTGTCGCATGCTGCTGCGAATTTGTGGCTTGCATTTCCTGCTCTGATCCAGCATATCAGGGCACAGTCGTCAACAAAGAGGAGGTCACGTAACACAGTCTTCTTGATTTTGGTGACAGCCTGGGTCTTCGCAGGTTAAACAATCAAAATGTTTTAAATTAACAGAATAAAAAAAAATATCAAGTCCAATACATATTTTAAAGACTAAATGAAGACCAAATAAAACTTCTATAAATGATATCATCACAGATTAAGCAAATAAAAATACCCTGACACAGTTACTTTAAACTTTTCTCTCCTTTCTGTATCAAAATAAAGTATCCAAAGTGTGATCTAATTGCCAAACCTTATGTTCAGGGGTGAAATCCAACAGGTTCTGACAGGTTCTGGAGAACCAGTAGCGGAAATTTTGAGTAGTTCAGAGAACTGGCAAATACCGCCTCTGGCTGGCCCCAGAGTGTGGTGGAGATTTTGCAATATCCTTCCCCAGGAGTGGGGTGGGAATTGGGATTTTGCAGTATCCTTCCCCTGTCATGCCCAAGCCACGCCCACCAAGCCACACCATGCCCACCAAGCCATGTCCACAGAACCGATAGTAAAAAAAAAATGGATTTTACCACTGTTTATGTTCAGTACCATCTCTATATGAGCATGCAATCAGCAAATTAAGCACAACCTTCTAAGAATACACACACACATACAAAATTTTTAAAGGGGCAGGAAACAAGCACTGTAAGGAATGAATATTTACAGGTTTCTGCAAGGCATCAAGTATTTGAAAAGAAAATAATAAAATTGAGGGAGTAGAAAAAATGAACTCTTAGGGAAAAAATAAGATTCAAAGGAATTGTAATAGAAGCATATTAATCCAGACTATAGCATTCTGTCACCTTTAATATAGTGCTACATTTTGTTCTCTATTTTGCAATAAGTAAAATATGTCCTACTATTTAATTTCTTGGAATCTCAGCTTTCATTTCTTTCTGCATGGGATTGGAACTGGCTGTGACTGATTAGGAAAAAAGATCTTAAGAGTTATTATGGACTCTATTTATTGAAAATACCATCCCTTGTGCAATTACTGTAAAAAAGCAAAAAAGAAAAAAAAAAAAAGAAAGAAAGAAACGAATTTCAATCAGGAAGTCAATTGAAAACATATTGGTAATTGCTAATATAACAATGTTTTAGTACAAGACTATAAGGTGACCATATTCAGAGTATTGTGTATAGTTCCAGTCACTGAATTTTAAGAAGGGTAGTACAGAGCTAGAAAGGATAAAAAAAGACCGTTCGTACAATGATACAAACAACATGATTAGGGGGTAGCAGTTTCTTTTCTAAAAGAAAAGGCCACAGAACTTGGGGCTTCTCATCTTGGAACAAATGTAAGGGATGATATATGGTAGGGATTTATAAACCATACGTGGTATAGATTATGTGAATGCGGACAAGTAATGTTAGAACATCTGCTAATACTAAATGTAGAAACAGGAGATCATATCATCAGCTCCTGCAAGATTGAAGCTGATTATAAACAACATAACAAGTCACCCAAATGATTTACTGGAACATTTGTAAAATGTTCCAGTAAATGCGCCAGTAATGAAAAATTGGAGGGAACATAACATTGAAAAAGTAGTTGAGAATGAGTGGATTAAAATATTGTGGGATATTTTAATCAAAACTTATCAAGTTTTGTTTAATAACATGCTAAATAACAGAGTGTCAAGAGCTAAAAATCAAAACTGAAAGATTACAGAATAATCAGCACCTGAGTGCCATATTAAAAAATCTGGGACAACAATTAGAAAATCTGTGCATCAAATTTCCATCAATCAATTACAATTACAATTACAAAAAGAACTGTACTGCTTGGATCCAAAAATATATTATGCTAGAACATTATCACATTCTAGGTTCTTGGGAAGAACATGATGTACAGTCAGGTCCAGAAATATTGGGACATCGACACAATTCTAACATCTTTGGCTCTATACACCACCACAATGGAGTTGGAATGAAACAAACACAATGTGCGTTAACTGCAGACTGTCAGCTTTAATTTGAGGGTATGTACATCCAACTCAGGTGAACGGTGTAGGACTTACAGTAGTTTGTATATGTGCCTCCCACTTGTTAAGGGACCAAAAGTAATGGGACAATTGGCTTCTCAGCTGTTCCATGGCCAGGTGTGTGATATTCCCTCATTACCCCAATTACAATGTGCAGATAAAAGGCCCAGAGTTCATTTCAAGTGTGCTATTTGCATTTGGAATCTGTTGCTGTCAACTCTCAAGATGAGATCCAAAGAACTGTCACTATCAGTGAAGCAAGCCATCATTAGGCTGAAGAAACAGAACAAACCCATCAGAGAGATAGCAAGAACATTAGGCGTGGCCAAAACAACTGTTTGAAACATTCTCAAAATG